TTTTTCTTTTTTTTCGATTGTTTTGTTTTTAGATTGGTTTCATGTTCACTGGGCTCACTACAGGATGAAAGGTATTATGATGGCAACATGTTGGCTACTGCGAGGTATTTTGGCGCATAGGATGCAAAAAGCGTGTTTGGAACGAGGACTTGGCAATATTAGACTCTCGCCTATCGTAATTATACCATGAAAAGAAGGACAATCTTTTGACATTCAGCGGCCAGAACATGGTCGAAAAAGTCGAAGATTGAAACATTCCACTCCATGATAACCTCACACTAGTGCCCGTACGTCCCCACTCCAACCCCGAGCCGAAGAATTGTTGCGCAGTACTTGACTTGGAAGATGCATTGTCTGAGTGGCTTTGATGCGCAATGCCGTGGTACAGCGGGAAAGCTAACAAGCAGATGAGATAATCTCGCGCCCCTAAAGCCAACGTTCCATGACAGCTTCCATGCAGATGAGATGTGAGACGGGGGCTATGTTTGCCCTGGGCAACCCCGGGCAACCAGTTTCTCGGGACGAGTTTGGATGTCTGGGCAAAGCCAAATTTGTGGGAAGAGAATCGCCTGGCCCGTCAGCGGCGGCTTTATGATTTGGGAGCACGAGACATTGCGAGGTTGTGGCTGGAGCATAGGTATAGTACAGCAGAGGAGTGGCTTTTTTGTGAGATTTTTACTTCTTTGATGGATGGTTAGTTGGCTGTAACAAAGGAACGATGTTTCTATTGATAGATGGCGATGAGTCGTGCACGAGTCCGAAATGGAGTGAGACCGAATAATAGCGGGATCCAACTAAGTTACACATCAAAGGCTTCGGTATCGCATTTTCGAACGGGTTTGGGGTTTGGGAATTTGTGGTTTGTTTCTTGACCTCGTATCGGATCCTCCTATCCCTTTTTTCTTTTGCCCTATCTTCCTTTTGGGCTTCGTTTCGCGAAATGGAGCAGATTGTCTATGGAGTAAGTACCTGACTTCCAAGAGGACCGGAGATGGTGCCGTCTTTCGATCCAATGGCTCCGGCGGGTAGGCTCGGTGGTCTGCAGAGACAGGGGAAATGGGGGAAGCATGGGGCCAAGCGCCTGTGAATCTCGTAAATCGGGGTTCTCGGCACCAGGCCGGCCTGCATTTAGGTTGATAGTGCAGGAGAGTGTCGAGGTTTGGCAGACTTGTGTCCCATTCTGTCCTGTTGTGGCTTGCCCAGGTCAACGGCCTTTTCAGGCAGGGCAGATGGTTTTTTGGGACGGATATTGGCCGCTGCAGCCACATTGATGGTTTAAGGTCTCTTGGCCTTTGCATGATACGATCCGTAGAAACAAATAGGTGGTGATGGTGGTACCTAGTTTAAGGAGGTAGGTAGGTAGGTCGGGTGGTCGATCTTAAACGGCGGTGATTTCTCCGGTCCGTCGTCCGCTCGTTGGCCGCGGCCTCCTGAGCTTACCTCACCTTACATTAGGTAGGTAGATAGGTACCTTACGCCAAAGGACAAATCTCGTGATGTCTTTCGCCGGCGGTGCCATCCAGACGGCGGTGTCCCTCCGTCCTTTTTAAAATCTCCTAATCTCGCCTCGATCCACCCGAGCCCCCAAGCTCCAAACTGTAAAACCCGTGGAAGCCAACAACATTACACACAAGCCTTGGCTGGTGGCCCCCCCTCGTGCCTGTCCTGACTCCGTCTATCCGCCCCCCTAGCCTGTAGCCTGTAGGTGCTCCGTAATACAGACGAAGTATTGCTCCAGGCGAGTTTACGGCAAGTCTGGGCCGTAGGAAAGTGACTAATGGAGGATCCCCCAAGGCGGCAAAGCCAGGTGTGTTAAGGTATGTGGGGACGCTAAGCCCAATCAGAAGTAAGCTTGTGTCAGGACCCGGCCATTGCCTTTCTCCCATTTCATTGTACGTACAGTACCTAATTACCCACCTACCTTACTCTTTGTATGTATCCGTGGTATCGTACCTTTACTCATCAATAGCTACCACCAATAGATCTGCTCATCATCATCATCATCATCATCACCATCCTGAGGTGCTCGCTCGAACAGACACAAACGCCAGACCGCTCACTGACCGTGGCTCATACCTACTTCGGTATCAGGGCGCCACGGTGCCAAGATATCAACCCTTCACCTACCGCAGTTGCCTAAGCTGAAGGCTGAAGCTCCCCCAAGTCTGTGCTGCATGTCACTTTCTTACTCCGCCTCGTGACAGCCCGCCCTTCTGGCCCATCAATCCCCGACGACGATCACCTTTTTTGCCTGTCCGCTCCTCGCTACACCTTGGCCCGCTCCTCTTCTTTCTATCTCCGTGTTTCTCTTTATTTTTTGTTTTCTTCCCTCTTCTCTTAAACATCCCTCCTCGCCCAGACTTTTCGGAGGTTTATTACTTGTGTTGCTTCTTCCTTTGGCCGCCGGTTTCCAATTTTCAAATTCCTTCCTTTTTCCTACGGTACCCCAAATCCACAACGCGGTTGCATGCGCTTGTCTCGCCTTCGCTCCTAATCCGTCAGCCAAAAACCCGTTGTTCGACCTAAAGCGATCGACCCTCCTCCCACCCCAAAAGAACGTCATCCACATACCGACGGCCGCTTTATCGCCCCCCCTTCCGACCAAACATCACCCCGTCATTCGCACGAGACCGCCCTTTTTCTCTCTGTCCCTCCCTCTGCTAGTCCCATTTCAACACACCCCGACCCGGCCAGGCCAATGGCCCCTCCGCCACCCTACCTGATAGCGACTGCCGCCCAAGATGTTCCTACTTCATTCGCCGCCTTCGTAGCAGCTACAGCAACAGCAGCAGTCGACGCAGCAGCAAACACAATGATCCCTATCGCGACCCCGACAGAAGCCCTCGACGGCGCCGTCGCGACTTTCACGAGTGCTGTCGCCGCGGCCACGGCTACCCACGCTGCAACACAGGGCGAAGAAGGTGGTAATGGCGAGTGCAGCCTGCTCGGTTCCTTTGCCCTCATTGTCCAGGCGGCCCTGGGCGGCCTTGCCTTGCTGTCGTTGGTTTTCAAGCGCTGGAGAGAGCGGCCACAACGTCCAGTCAAGATCTGGTTCTTCGACGTTTCGAAGCAGGTGTTTGGCTCGGTTCTCGTCCACATCGCCAACATCTTCATGTCAATGTTGACGTCAGGGCGCTTTTCTGTGACACTGGACCCCGCAACCACGGCCAACGCGCAGAGGTTGATGAGACGCGGCGAGGACTACACACCAAACCCGTGCTCCTTTTACCTGCTCAATCTCGCTATTGATGTAAGCAACCCACTCGCTTCCTTTCTCTCTCCGGCATCGTACTAACATGCGTCATGCAGACCACCATCGGTATCCCCATCCTCATCGTACTTCTCCGCGTTCTGACAGGCCTCGTTGCCTACACACCCTTGGGCAAGCCTGAGGAGTCGATCCGGTCCGGCAACTATGGCACACCTCCCAACGCCTGGTGGTGGTTGAAGCAGTCCTTCATTTACTTCTGCGGCCTGTTTGGCATGAAGTTCTGCGTCCTCATCATCTTCCTCCTCCTGCCCTGGATCTCGCGCGTCGGCGACTGGGCCTTGCGGTGGACCGAGGGCAACGAGCAGCTGCAAATCTTCTTCGTCATGATGTTCTTCCCGCTCGTTATGAACGCCATGCAGTACTACATCATCGACTCCTTCATCAAGCAGCCGCAGCACGAACACGAGCGACTTCCAGAGGATGACCCCGATTGGAGCTCGAGACACGCAGGTGTCAGCCCGTACGACGACGCCGACTCGGCAAGCGAGGAGGGTGCGAATTCGGACGATGGAGCGAGCTTGAAGCTGAAGAAGGCGAAACATGCGGATGATGCCGAATACGACCCGGACACGGACGGCGACGCGCCGACGGTCATTGGTAGCAGCTCTAGCCGGACAAATCACCAGAGAAGGGATAAGGATATCTCGGCGGAGCTGTTCCCAAAGGAGTGACGTGAGCTTTTGTTTCTGTTTGGTTTAAGCTAGGAGTTGGAGCTAGATACATGTATAATCGGACCAGGTCTAGATGGCCTCCATAGGGCTGTAACAATACGGGTGTTTGGTTTAAGCGCATCATCCCTTGTCAGTCCTCATGAATCATATTCAGATCTTTGACTTCCTGAAGACCGCCATATTTCTTGATGAGAACTCTCATGACATCATGTATTCACCAACGTCGACTATTGGACTACTTATTCCGGCTTCATCATTGAGCATATCCCCGGAGAACGCACTATTGTAACCGTACCTGCAAAACCTCTACGGGGCAGGACAGCTGCTCACTGGAAATGCCTCAAGTTGGTTGACTCCGCGGGGATCGGGCCGGAGCCGGGTGCTGATCCGCGGTTCCGTCTGCAAGGCAGATCCACTTCCCGGACGGCACGCTGAGGGGCGGGGGGCTTCCGTCTAATATACTCGCCCACATCAAGATCAACTGATACGTAAGAGTGAAAAGGGTTGTCTGCAGTCCACGTACTTTATTTGTGTATGTGAATAGCAATGTCCAGGATTCCACACCGGTTACGGGGACTGCAGGAAACGTGAGCTCAACCTCTTTACCTGCCCAGTCCGGGGTTGATGAAGAAGTTGCGGTTTCATCGGCTCCACGTAGAGGCGTCGTGGACTCTCGTGAAAGGAGACAACTTCGCCGTTGGCTTGCATGTCTTGTTATATTGGTTCGTGTTCACCAAGGTGAGGGGAGAAATCGAGTCCCCGTGCCCCGGTGCCTGGACACATAATGTGGCCTATTCCTCGTTCTTCGGGCGACTTTTATCGAATAAGGCTGGTTTGCAACGAGCAGAAGTGACTCCAAACCCAACTCTCCAGTCTCCGATGCTTGAAGAAACATGGCGGAGATTGGGGTACTGCGTCCTTCAAAACTTCGTGTGCACCTCCTGGTGATAGTGGACTGACAAGTATTGTGTAATTAGATTTTAGACAATGGCCAGGCAGAAGTCGAAGTAAACCATTTAGATTCTCCTTTGTGAGTGGTTTGGCATGTGCTAACTACCTCTGAGAGTATTGCCTCGTCTGGCACAAGCGTTTCCGATTCGATTCTAGACTACCGCTTCGAGAATGGTCGAACCTATCATCGGTATAAAGATGGGAGTGAGTTCACAATCTGACCTGGAGTTCTAATTCTTTATTTGTGCGGGAATCTGATAGAAATGCAAGAGTACAATATCCCCAACGACGAGAGGGAAATGGATAGACTAGGTGAGAGTTGTCACATTACTGTTGTCCTAGGATTTAGAATCTAATCGCGTTCCGATAGATCTACAGCACCACATCTGCCTCATGACGCTAGTAGGCAGACTCGGTCTTGCGCCCCCTTGCCAAGCAGGCGCTGAGGTTGGAAGAGTCCTTCATCTCGGTACGGGAACTGGTATCTGGGCTATCGAATTTGGCGATGACCATCCGGAGGCCGAAGTCAGTTCCGTCTATCGACGTACAGTGTTTCTTTGGACGTATACTGACATTTGGTCCGCCTCAGGTTCTTGGTGTTGATCTGTCCTCGACACGTATTGTACCTTACGACTAGTAACCTGTGTGCTGTCATCTTGTTCGCAGAAACTAAAGAAGAGGTCGAGGTTCATGTTGGCTGTGCCGGTCGCATTCAGGGAAAGGGATGGACAGTCAGTCACATATCGAGTCAGTCACCGCGGAAGCAAGTGTGAGGACCATGCAGAACAAGGACATCGCTTTTGATACCCCTGCCTTGAGGACTTCACTTTCCATTCGGCGGCAGCTCTTTCGGGTCCACCCAGAATGCTGCCAAGGGTCAACTTCGCCGGTGGCATGCGTTGTGTGCGCATTTCTCTCGTTGGTTTGATTCGAGTCTGATTGAGGGGTTGTTAGCGATGGCATGTTGCTTTTCCACAAAATTGACCAGATTCCTCTCTTCCTCGGTTCCCATGCCTCTGCTCAAATTGTCGACTCTTGCCCATCGTCCATAAACTACAGCACGTCATTCTCGCCCAACCAACACTTGTAATCATGGCTGAAGTCGATCACGAGATCCAAATTATTGCGGATGAACAGGTATGTTTGTGACCATGTGACGGGTGCCATTCTCTCGAGCTTATAGCAGTCGTAGGCTCTGGAAGAAAATCGAGCAGATATTGAAAGCATTGCTTCCTCGAGCACCAGCCTCAATGGCTCAATCTTGGACTATCGATTCGAAAATGGGCGAACGTACCATCGCTACAAAGACGGAAGTGAGCAACACGCTCCATGTCTCTTGTAAAGCCGTGCTGACTCTATCGGTAACAAGAATATGTGATTCCCAACGATGAGCAAGAGAATGATAGAATGGGTATGTCACCTCTACAGAGTCCTTGAGATATCTCACGCATGTGGCTTACTTGTCTGACACTGCTAGATATGCAACATCACATATGCCTCATAACCCTCGGTGGTCGGCTCGGACTAGCACCTCCATGCCAGCCTGGTGTCAAGGTTGACAGAGTATTGGATGTTGGTACGGGCACGGGAATCTGGGCTATTCAGTTTGGCGACGATCATCCCGAAGCCGAGGCAAGCTCAAAAGTGACGAAATTTGAATGCGTGTTGACTGTGAACAGGTTCTCGGCGTTGATTTATCTGCTACGCAGCCAGACATGTAGGTTTCTGAATTCGTGAAGCTATCGGGAGAGAGGACTAAGAGGCCGGGTCTCCCAGCGTAGCTACGAATGTCAAGTTCGAAATCGACGACATTGACGAGGAGTGGACGTACACCACCCAGTTCGACTACATTCACAGTCGCTTCATGTCGTCAAGCATCGCAGACTGGAAGGCTTATCTCACTAAATGTTTCAAGTAAGCGCGACGTTTACTCCCGACCTTTGCTCAATAGCTGTCTCTAATGAGTGTAAGTCACATCCAACCTGGCGGTTATCTAGAGTTGCAGGAGCCAGAGATGGAGTTCCAGTCCGATGACGGCACATTTCCTGCCGACTGCCCCTTGGCCAAGTACGGCAACCTCCTCAAGGAGGCCGCGGCCATCTTTGGGCGAGAGTACGTCTCGGTGTCTTCCTTGAAAACACTGATGGTCGATGTGGGCTTCAAGGACGTGACGCTGAGCCGGTACAAGTGGCCCATCAATACCTGGCCCAAAGATCCTTCGTTCAAGGAACTGGGCGCATGGGGCTTTGAGAATAGCAACGCCGGTCTCGAGGCTATCTCTATTGCGCCTCTGACGCGCGCCCACAAGTGGACTAGGGAGGAGGTGAATGTCTTTTTGGCTGAAGTCCGGAAGGACCTGGCTAACAAGAACTACCATACTTATGTCCCAATGTAAGCCATCTCTGTTCTATGGTTACCAGTCGAACACGCTTTGCATGCTGACTTGCGCAACTAAGGTATTTTGTTGTTGGACGGAAGCCAGACTCGAAGGAAGAGTGCTTAGAGAACTGAACAGATATTCTGAGAACTATGTCACCTTAGTGCAGAGCGTGGTCAAGAAGCGGGAACGACAACCTCTTTTTCTATTCGGAATCTTAATCTCTTCTCTCAAGACCAAAAAAATAGCCCCCAATCTTTGCCCGTTCTTCAAAAACATAAACCGAATCAATCCTGTGGCTGAAGCCGGGGTGACTCGGACCTTCGCCTCGGCTCCGGACAGATTCAGAAGGTCGGGCGTTGCATCCAACAGCTCTACCATGGGTTTGGGCGCCTCGATACCAAGCAACGAACGACGGTCCCCTCTCCGTCCCACAATTCCCTTCTAAATGGAGACAGCTTGGCCGCTGTGCTTGCATTATGCAATGCACATTTCGTTCTGTTGGCCCTGCTCAGAAACATGGGCCGGAAAGAGGGGGTTACAATCGAATGTTTTGGTCGCAACAAATAGTCAAGCCTGTGCCTCCCCCGCTGTCCGAATGCCTTTTGCTTCTCGTTAAGATTCCCGGTCTTACGTTACCCATATCATTGTTCGAAGAGAAACGTTGAAGTTGGACATTTTGTTCATAGCGCGAACGAGCACCTGCGAGCATGGCTTCCATCGTGAATAACGAGGTCCAGCTTGTTGCTGAAGACCATGTATGTGTAATTGTAACTTTGGAAACTAAGTATATGACAACTAATGCAAAGTTTAGGTTGACGTGACCGACAGCGAGGCTGATCTCGAGGTAAGGACAACACCAATCTCTCGGTATTCTCACTACTCAGATCTTCTTACTCATGCTGCTCTTTTGACAGAGTATTCAATCAGAGACGACGAGCATCAAGGCATCTATGCTCGAGTGGCGCCAAGAAAATGGTCGAACTTATCATAAGTACAAGGATGGCAGTAGGTAAAACAGGCGCTCTCCCACTGCATCCAGCGGTTGACCAGCTCGATAGAATACCTCGTTCCCAATGATGAGACAGAGCTCGATAGACTCGGTAAGGCAGACTATCACCGGCTAGTGATTTATCCCACTGACAGGGCATATCAGATATGCAGCATGAGATCTTTTATCTCACATGGGATGGAAAGCTCGGCATAACCCCTCCATGTGAGCCTGGCGCGAAAGTTGGTCGTGTTCTCGATCTCGGCACGGGTACTGGTTTGTGGGCAATCGATTTTGCGGATCTGCATCCTGAAGCCGAAGTTAGTCTTCAATCCTTGTGACGCCGCTCACTCCTTAGACACCATGATCGAGAAGTGGCTAACAATCACCTGTCCTTTAGGTTCTGGGCATGGACCTTTCTCCTGTCCAGCCGTCAGAGTATGTCGTTCCCTCATGAAAGACTGATCAAGCCATGAGAAGACACCCGGAAGACTGATCATTCATCTCTCACAGCGTTCCGCCTAACGTGAGATTCGAAATTGATGATATCGAGGAGGAGTGGCTTTATTCACAGCCATTCGACTACATTCACAGTCGAATCATCACGGGAGGCATCAGCGACTGGAAGAAGATGATCAAGAAGGCCTACGAGTAAGTCTTATCACTAAAGTACAACTCCACGAAGGATATCTGACAGCGTTTCCAAACATAAAGCCACCTCACACCTGGCGGATGGTACGAGATCCAGGAGTCAGACATGTCCCCAGCCGCCGACGATGGAACACTGCCCCCCGAGAAGGCATTGTCTAGATTCGGCGCCCTGATCCGCGAAGCTTACGTGGAGATGGGTGTGCCCCTGGTCCATGTTCCTGATCTGAAGGACGTCCTCGCAGAGGTCGGGTTCGAAGACGTGGAGCTGACCGTCTTCAAGTGGCCTACGAATCCTTGGGCCAAGGACCCCAAGTACAAGAAGATCGGGGAGTGGAATTACCACAACTTTGGTGGCGCAGTTGAGACTGTCTCCTTGGCGCCGTTGACTCGGGTGCACGGCTGGACCAAGGAGGAGGTCCTGGTGTTCGCCGCCGAGGTGCGGAAAGACCTTCGGGACCCGAAGGTTCACTCCTACTTTCCCATGTAAGTCCAAATGTATTTTCGTGCTCATCCGTGCTGAAATTCTTTCTGACAACGTTGTAGCTACACGCTTGTTGGTAGGAAGCCATCGGAGGCGGCGACTAAGCCGGCGGCTACTGAGACCACTCCAGCTGAGGTCTCAACTTCATCACAGTGATTCACAAGGCCTTCACAAGGCCTTATCATGCTGGTTGATCGCTTAATCAAGACGGATTGCCAGATTTCAGCTCAGATATCGGCCTCTCTGGGAAGATGACATGACATGGCTCTGAACTTCGAAGATGTCTTATATGATACAACGGTAGTTGTGACTGGCCTATCAGAAAGTGTGGCACCGACAACACTGATTTGGAGCCTTCGAATAGTTGTTTAATAAACTCAGTCGATTTCCCCCCAGTCATGCTGGGTGCCCCATTGCCTATTGACTCTAAGCTTGTTGATACTGAGTGGTAGGAAATCATATTGACTTATCGCTGTTGAATATTGACCTAGGATGGCCGACAAGAGGATGAGATCTATCGCTACATTTCAGAGCAAACGTGTGTTTGTTGTCTGTTTTGAGAACCCTCTAGTCGTTTGGTGCGGCTAAGAAACAGACACTAGCCTGGCGGGTGTTAAGCCCGCCTCCCGCGGCGGGGGATGCCTTCTCCTATCCCCTGCCGCATCTCCAGTTTTTTCGGTCTGCAAACAGGCAACGTCGCCGCTCGCCTGCATCATGCGCCCTGCACCTCGCTGTTGTGAATGGTGGCCGGGTGACAGGCCGCGGTTGGGTCGACAAAGAGGGGTCGATTCATCTGCCCACCTTCAAAAACTTCGAGTCGTCGTCTCCCTCGTTTAATCCTGAAAGTCTTGTCGCTTAACAGTTCTTCAGCAAGAAGTTATCCCAGGGTCTTGGCTTACATCTGAACCCACTCAGCAACGCGTCCGAGTACGACATATTGCTACCATGGCTGCTGCACCCGAGGAGCATCCCGAGGAATTCCTCGTCGCTGATGACGAAGTAAGCATCATCGGGAAGCGACGGGGCACACTCAGCCTTATAGCTAACCATCACTTCAGATCTCTGACAGCGAGGTGGATCTCGAAAGTCTTCGCTCAGAAACCACAAGTGTGAAAAGCTCAATCCTCGAGTATCGGATAGAGAATGGCAGGTCGTATCATAAGTACAAGGACGGCAGTGAGAGAGACTTCTCCGACTCTTGTTCATCCGAGGGTGATTCTGATAAGCTATTTTAGAATATGCCTTTCCCAACGACGACCAAGAGAATGAGAGACTCGGTAAGGCGCCTTGGGGGCCTGTTTTCACATACTCTTAAGCTAACACTGAGGACAGACATGCAGAGCGAGATCTGTAATCTCACCTTCCATGGCAAGATGGGATTTGCGCCGCCCGCGGAGGAGGGGGCCAATGTTGGGCGCATTCTGGATCTTGGCACAGGAACTGGTCTATGGGCCATAGACTATGGTGATCAACACCCCGAAACAGAGGTGAGTTTTGCTGATGATCTATGTTTGACAAAGTTGCCTGATCAAGTCGGGGAGCAGGTGTTAGGCGTTGATCTCTCGCCAATTCAGCCAAGAGAGTAAGTTGTCCCTCCTCTGGAGACCGCATCAAACCTAAAGTCAAGCCTCTTGCTGATGTTGGAGATGTTAGCGTCCCGCCGAACGTCCACTTTGAGGTCGACGATGTTGAAGAGGACTGGCTCTACTCGAGGCCTTTTGATTACATTCACATCCGCTTCTTGAATGGTTCGATTGCCGATTGGAAAAAGCTGGTCACTAAGGCCTACGAGTGAGTCTGACATGATCAATGTCACAGCATTCAACCCTCGGGGCCCTCCAAATCGGAGGGCATCAAAAGCCAGTCGACTGACGTTCTCTTCAATCATAGCAATCTTGTTCCTGGTGGCTACTTCGAGATTCAGGAAAACGATTTCGTTTTCACTTCTGATGATGAAACTCTGGCACCCAAGGCACCTCTCGCTGAGTTCGGCAGATTGGTTCGGGAAGCCGCCGCAAAGTTCGGGCGTGCCTTCGTTCCCTGCCCCGAATTGAAAGATATCTTGACCGAGGTCGGCTTTGAAGACGTCGTTCTCGACAAGTTCATATGGCCCTCTAACCCCTGGCCCAAAGACCCTTATCATAAGACGATTGGGCAGTGGAATTATCACAATTTTGTGGACGCTGCAGAGGCTCTGGCTCTGGCCCCTCTGACGCGCGCACACGACTGGACTAAAGAAGAAGTTCAGATATTCCTCATTGACGTCCGGAAGGATATGAGAAACCCTAAAGTACACTCGTACATGCCGATGTAAGTTCTGAAGCGCTGCCATGGCTGTAAGGCTAGACATCACTTCTTTCGCTAATAATATTTCAATACAGCTACACTATTGTTGGCAGAAAGCCTTTGAAGAAGGATGCCCCTGCTGCACCTCAAGCTTAGAACATATTGGTATGGCCAAGAATTGAAGGAGATCAAGGTACCTAGGACGACCGTCGACGACGAGCGGGTAGAACTGAGTCGACTGGGCGGGGTGGGCGCCCCAACAATGCATATCGATACTAAATTTCTGATATCAACACCATTGTCCGATGAGAATTCCGCACTTGGCCAAGCTCCTTTCTTACTGAGACTGGACATAGTGACCGAGCCATCGAAATCTCGTGAACATGGATGAGGGTTTGACGCACCGCGGACACGGGACGGCTTCCGACAGTGGATAATCCAGATTTTGCGGTTGCAGGGGTTGACTGACTGAAGTGGCAAGTGGTCAGATCGCAGGATGCTGTTGGAAGTCGTCTTCACATGCCCATGTCGTATCTTTGTCTCTTCATTCGACCGTAGTTTCCTCTGCCCCGCAATTGTCTGCAATGGGGAAACTGCACCGTCGAGATGCATATGCATGTTTGCTCGTTGGTTCCTTCGCCAAACCCCAGCTCAGAAGAGGGGTGACGAACTGAGATGGCCTGTTTCTGTCACAAAAACAATGGTGGCCCCTTTGCAGTTCCCCTCATAACCCTGTCCTAGGGTTCCTCATTGCTATTACATTCCTGCGATTTGGCGTAGTTTTTTGGTTGCATCTGTATTCAAACAGCGAACAGCAAGGTCGGGAACTCCCATTACGCAAGATGGCCCAGCAGAACAACACCACCAACGTTGAGATCGTCGCAGACGACCAGGTAATCCTATCACAACATCTTAAACTATGATGGTTTTCTAAATGTGTTTAGCATGACGATGCCCAGTCAGATATTGGAAGCGTAAGTTCGGGCTCTAATCTCATTCTTCATCGCATCGTTGTTCTTGCTTACATCCTTGTCTCAGAGCATCGCTTCATCAAGCACTAGTCTTCGTGCCTCAATTTTGGACTACCGCGTCGAGAACGGTAGAACATACCACCGATATAAGGATGGCAGTATGTTCTCTGTTGTCAACTGTTGAAAACCGCTCACTAACTTCGACTGAGAATACACGATTCCCAACGATGAAAGGGAAATGGAAAGGCTAGGTAGAATCCACTTGCTCATGTACTATACAGACCTTCACTAATATTTGCCATAGACATGCAGGATGAGCTTTGGGCCATCTCAATGGACTTCGCATCAGGAATGGCCCCGCCCGGGCAGTTGGATGCTGAAGCTGGACGAGTCCTCGACGTCGGCACCGGCAGTGGCATCTGGGCAATCAACTACGCAGATGACCACCCCGATGCTGAGGTACCAAGATTCCCGTAACCTTGAAAACAGTTGTTGTCGAACATACTTGACTGACCTTTCTTTTCCCATTAGGTCCTTGGTATTGACCTCTCTCCAACCCTCCCTGACTAGTATGCGTCTCCTTCATCCCCATCTTAGGCGTCGCTCGTAGAACTCAGGACTTTGTGCAAAAAATCGGCTAAAATAGATTTCTTTCAGCGTACCACCAAATGTCAGATTTGAGGTTGATGACGTCGAAGAGGAATGGACATATTCGAGGCCTTTCGATTACATCCATAGCCGTGTTATGACAGGCAGCATCAGTGACTGGGATTTGTATCTTCGCAGATGCTACGAGTAAGTCTATTCATCCTTCTACGTTGCTATCTGCATATATTTACCGCATAAGCTGATTCATGTGTCAATAAAGCAACCTCGTGCCTGGTGGTTGGGTCGAATTGCAGGAGATTGCTGTATACTGCGACTCTGATGACGGGACGCTGACCCCAGACCACGCGATTTCCAAATGGAGCAAGCTGCTGCAAGAGGCAACGATCAAGCTTGGACGTCCTTACATTGATCCCGAAGGCCTTCCAGAGAAGGTGAAGGCTGCAGGATTCGTTGACGTTGCTATCACTGCATTCAAATGGCCACTCAACGACTGGGCCAAAGACCCCAAGTATAAGCAACTTGGCAGACTCCAGCTAGAAAATGGTCTAGCTGGCATTGAGGGTTTCACCATGGCAGCGTTTACCAGAGCCTTCGAGTGGACTGCTGAAGAGGTTAACGTGTTCCTCATTGATGTGCGAAAGGATGTCAACAACCGGCAAATTCACGGTTACCTTCCAACGTAGGTCACATTGATTTCTATGCCATCAGGTTCATTCTGACTCTCGATTTAGCTACTCCATCATTGGACGCAGGCCAGGAAAGGAGGTCACACCGGCTCCTCCGGCTCCGGCCTCCCCTGAGGCTACCGAAACTCCGGCTCCCATCGAAACTTCTGCTCCCACTGAGGCTCCTGCTCCTACTGAGGCTCCTGCTCCTACTGAGGCTCCTGCTTCCACTGAGACTCCTGCTTCGCCTGGAGTGTCTACCTCTACCCGGGCCCAGGCCCCAGCCCCGACTTCGACTTGACGAGGTGATGTGAAAGAATGGTTGTCGAGCTAGGTTGAGACGGGATCTAGCAGCTCTAGTTCGTTTAATGCAGGTTTGGTTGGGGCATTGTATTCAAAAGACAATGGGAACAAGGCACAATCCCGAATCTCTCAGCAAAAGTACAGACATGCACTTGAGATGATCGGTTGTGGTCATGGATTTAACCATGCTCCGATGAAAACTCATGCTCGAAAGAGAATGGGGGACAGATAAAAGATACTTGAACTATGTGCTTCGTCATGATGACCTTGTGTACGCACACCTCCTCATTCAATATAGTTTACGCTGCAAATTCAGGCTGACTGCTGTTCTTCTCGAAATAGTTTGGTGGACGCCAGGCTCTGTTACATTTGAGCGCTCATCTTGACAAATGCGGTAATGTTGAACTCCTATGAAATGAAAAGGGAATGTTCTTCTTGGGGCTTGCCAGAGATGACAGAATGATGGGAGTGACTGAGGTCAGAAGTGGACAAACGTCAACATCCATTGACTGAAAGACACTCTATCCCTCTTAGATCTGGTGACCTCCAACTCTGTCGCGTGTTCTTCAGATCCACAGCTGTCTACGGCGCAGGAGCTACGCCATCAGTGCGCATACAACGACAAATGCGGGCTTTGTCGACGTTTCTATCACAACGTACAAATGACCTCTCAACGATTGGCCCAAGGATGAGAAGTACAAGCAGATTGGAAGACTGCATTACGAGATTCACTATGGCCGCTTTGTCGCGCGCTCTTGACTGGAGCTTTGAGGAGGTAACCGTCTTCCTCATGGAAGTACGAAACGAAGTCAAGAACAGGATGATTCATGGATACACCCGAACGTAAGTTTTCTGGCCAATTGCAATTCAAGATGTCGAGCGGATTCACGTATTAACACTTTCATCAGTTACTGCATCATCGGGCGCAAACCGGAGAAGGGGGGCACGAGGACGATGTATCAGAAACCTTGGGCCTTATGAGCCCAAATATGCCATGTAATTCAGTCAGGAAGTCGAGAAGTCAAATATAAACCTCGAGGCTTCCGAGATGTGAAATTCGATTGTGTGGTTGTACGAAGGTTGCATTTAACCTCAGTCTAATGGTTCTTAGTGTCAGTCCTTCCTAGCGCGGCTCGAGAGCGTCGCATGGGTTGGGGAACTTGCAGTCCGTCAGTATTACGCTTCCGAACGACGACACCATCAACCCTGCAGATCTGTACATTCGAGAAACTTCAGAGGAGAAAACTTAATGCAGTGGAATTTGGTCACATTTTAAGCATGCCCCAACGAAAATTCTCGGCAGAGGCAGTGACCTTGGACGGTCTCTTAAGGGCTGTATCGGGTAATCTTTCTCGAGATGGCATTCTCTAGAAGCCCAACCCTGATGCGTTCAGTATGCAACATGGAAACTGCTTGGCGTATGTGGTACGCCTAACTTGATACGGAGTAGATAACGGCATGTTAGTGCCGGAATTCGCCCAAAAGCCGCCCAAGAGCCTTCGAGAGCAAGGATGAGTGGACTGGGACCTGGACAGTTGGAGTGACAGGCATTGCTATCCACTCAGTAAAAGATATTGTTCTCCCCCATGTCCAAAGCTCGATCTCGTCACCTGGTGACCTTCCAACGCGGCTGCGTGTTTTGCAGCTCCACAGATGTCTGCGCCGCAGGAGTAACGCGCATATGCATGTTTGCTCGTTGGAATCACTGGCGACCAAGAGGGGTCCGCCAAGTACAAATTGGCATGGTCGGGATTGGACTTCACACAAAAGGGTTGCAAGACCCGCGTTCCACCCCCGCTGCTGTTAATCTTTCCAATATTCTTAGCATAACATGTTAATAATACTTGAATTCAAGATTCGGAGAGAGAACTACAGCGGTATCAGAAGAATCAGTATCCACGGTCGCCATGGCTCATGACAATAATGTTACCGATCTTGATGTGGACGATGTAAGGGAAAAATTGTTTTCGATTCGACGACATATCTCTTGTCAGATGTGATGTGGACTAATTGATGCGGGAACAGGAAGGTATAGCAGATATGCATGTAAGCTCAAGCCTGCGTCACAGGGGGTATTACACTGAACTGGAGGGCAACCAATGACTAACCGTCCATTCCCTCATTCTATAGAGCATTGTTCCATCGACTATCAGTCTTCGCAAGTCACTTCTTGAATATCGTATTGAGAATGGTAGGACGTACCATCGATACAAAGATGGCAGTATGTTTTCCATGCTTCAGCGCCTGTTTCAAAGACTCTCTCACACCCGCCTACAGAATACAACCTACCAAATGACGACAAAGAACTAGATAGACTTGGTAGATTCTTCCATATGATCCCATCTCTTTGTGAGCTGTTTTGCTCACACTTTCATTAGATCTACAGCACCACTTATGGCTTCTTGCTTTGGACGACAGACTTGGCATGGCTCCACCCTGTATGGAGGGCGCACAAGTTGGTCGAGTGCTTGATGTCGGGACTGGGTCCGGCATCTGGGTCCTCGACTTTGGCGATGAGCACCCTGAGTCTGAGGTAAGACCACCAGTTAGCTTCATCATATCAGGAGCTATTCCGCTATCATACGAGGCGAAAAAGCTATTGATGTATCCTAGGTTCTTTCAATGAGCAAAGTTTGACTGAGTCTGTTTATAGGTGTATGGTATTGACCTATCGCCCACCCTCCCCATATAGTGAGTTGGCTCTGGTGAAGGCATGATTTTCGAGATACACATCCTGACAAGTCACATGGTCACAGTGTGCCCCCGAATGTCAAGTTTGAAGTCGACGATGCTGAGGAAGAATGGACTTGGTCGCGGCCCTTTTCCTACATTCACAGCCGAGTAATGACCTCCAGTATTGGCGACTGGAGGCTGTATCTGCGCCGTTGTTTCGAGTAAGTGTCTCCCTCTCTTCGTCTCCATCCTTTCTGGTTTCTCACTGGAAATTTGCATACTAACCCGGAAAAATGCAGTCATCTTGAATCAGGGGGATGGATCGAGCTACAGGAGTTTGATCTCTTTCCGCGATCAGACGATGGAACTCTCAAGCCAGAGCATCCCTTGATTAGGTGGTGCAGTCTCCTCCTCGAGGCATCAGAGAAATTCGGTCGCCCCTACGTCAGTATACCGCCGTTGAAGGACCTCCTCATGGAGGTTGGCTTCGTGGACGTGTCATTGAGTCTGTGCAAATGGCCTACCAATACCTGGCCGAAAGAGCCCAAATATAAAGAAATTGGTACCTGGCACGGAGAGAACGTCTCCGACGGCCTCGAGGGTTTCACTATGGCGGCTTTGACGCGTGCACTGGATTGGACGCCCGACGAAGTTGAGGAACTACTCGTCGAGGTACGGGGCAATATCAAGGATAGGAGCATCCATGCATGGTGGCCAGCGTAGGTTCCCCCAATAGTGAGGAATGCGGCCTGAGGAAACTGTTGTGCTGATATATCATAGATATTGCATCGTCGGACGCAAGCCATAGCAAGGCCCTTTCACTCTGGGGCCTTTGCGATTCCTCAGCCTCCGGCTCAGGCTTCATCCTAATCGATGTACACGAGGAACAGGCGTGTGGCTGAGAGTAAGAACGGATGTGGATTTTTGGGAATCAGATGAGGTTTTCCATTTCAAGTGACCTGAAGGCGGACAGGGCCATCAAAAGCCCTGAGAGCTGGGTGGATGTAAGATTCGTTTCCAACCAAGATTGCCGCCAGCCCATTCTCATCCGCCCAAGTTGAATTTCCAAGTCGGGACTTTTGCGTTGTGTTTTCCTATATGTCGAACGATAAAGCAAGCTGCGCAAGCTAGGAATTAATGAAAACGCTGGAGATAGAGCTTTGTACGTAGAGGAAATAAATTGGCTTCAATGATATCATGTCGAGTTGAGCGATGTGACGCCCACCTACAGTGCCAAATGGACTAGTGAGATGTTCCTAAAGTTAGTGGCGGGGAACGGTCCGTCCCGTGGATAGCCCAAAATTGTCCACGAAACCAATGTTTGAATCACTCAAGTTTATTGCCTTTGTTTTATCAGGGACGGCTGTTCTCAAAACCTCACATTGGCACCGCAATTCGATGACTTATTGCATCAAAATAGACAAGCACTTTCGTTGCCCACCTGAGAGGTAACGTTAGCAGCCATAAGAATGACTTATCCTCGCTATACCGTTACAGTCTAGGCGACTTACCATACCCCCTGTTGCATTCCCCTCTCAGTCACAATCTACCATACCTTTCTCGTACCCACAGTTACAATGGCAGTGATTGTGAGTGGAGGCGCCCATGGTTGTTGGTTCGTTGTCTGCACAGCCAAGAAGAGGGGTGGGTTCAGTTGGTAGTGCCGCGGTCAACCACAAAAACAGCTACCGCCCCGAGCCACTCTTGGCTTTGTTGTCCCTTTCCCATCCTCTACTTCCGTCGGTACGGCGCAGTCCTTCACCTGTAGCAAGGATTCCCGAATCGTCAAAGACAATTTGTGACTGTGAACATGTCGCAAGACAACCAGCCCGTTGAGATAGTGGCGGATCAGGAGGTAAGATGGTACCTGCAAAACATTATATTGCATCGGACGACTGATCAAAATATCGAGATTAGAGTGACGCTCAGTCGGCAGACGGAAGTGTATGTCTTGTGTTGGGAGGGAGCTGTCCTTGGGTCATCGTACCTTGCTTATGTCTCATGCATAGAGCTTTGCTTCTTCAAGCACCAGCCTTCGCGAGTCGATCCTCGAGTACAGAATCGAGAACGGCAGAACGTACCACCAGTACAAGGATGGAGGTAACTTGAAATTCCATCGTATAATTCATCGTACAGCACCTCTAACATCAAAACAGCTTACCTCTTTCCCAACGATGATAGGGAGCTAGAAAGACTGGGTAATGATGGGCCGTGAGATCTTCATCCTTGTTCTTCTATTAACCATATAGCTAGACCTGGTCCATTCTATGTGGCTTCTGGTGACCGATAATCAGCTCGGTATTGCTCCGCCATGCCAAGAGGGTTCCAAGGTCGGCAGAGTGCTCGACATAGGCACGGGCAGTGGAATTTGGGCCCTCGATTTCGGAGATGAGCACCCTGAGTCCGAGGTAAGTCTTCTCCTTCATTCTAGCTCAGTTTTCAAATTTGCTATCGGTGCTCTGTCTTCTGAACCAGAGTGAAAACTGAATAAGGCATTTCATAGGTCCTCGCTATCGATCTCTCCCCTACAATGCCTACTTAGTAAGTCTCTACACCACCTCAACAGCCAGGATCATCACAAGTTAGTCGCGCAAAGACGGGCTGACCTTCCATCGCAGCGTTCCGCCCAACGTCAAGTTCGAGGTCAACGATGCTGAAGACCCCTGGACGTACTCACGGCCATTTGAATACATCCACAGCAGAGTTATTACTCAAGGCATCAGAGACTGGAAGAAGTATCTGAAGAACTGCTACAAGTAAGCATACCATCCCGGATCATCGTATTCGAAGACCAAATCGGCATGTAGATAAACTAACATGAAGCACTTAAAGCAATCTCGAACCAGGCGGATGGATTGAAGTGCAGGAGATCGACCTGTACCCAACCTCCGACGATGGAACCCTCAGACCCGATTCTGCTCTTCAAAAATGGGCTGACTTGCTCAAGGAGGGCTCAGAAAAGCTGGGACGCCCCTTTCCCGACATTCCTTCGCTGAAAGGACTCATGGTTGAAGCTGGCTTCGTCGATGTTCAGATGACTAGGACCAAGTGGCCGATCAATCCTTGGCCAAAGGACCCTAAGTGGAAGGAAATTGGCATCTGGAACTGCGAAAATTTGCTTTCGGGTCTCGAGGGTTTCTCCATGGCTGCATTGACCCGAGGTCACGACTGGTCCCGCGACGAGGTGAACGTCTTCCTCATGGGAGTGCGGAAAGACATCAAGGATCGAAACGTCCATGGCTACTGGCCGATGTAAGTGTGCTTCTCTTACTTTCTCAGGGTTCCGTTTTGTTCCGAAATATTGCTGACAGCACCTCCTAGATACTTCCTCACTGGACGCAGACCGGAAAAGGAGGACACCGCGCCTCCAGCACAAGTTTCAGCTGAAGCAGCGACCTCCACGGAAGCATAGTTCACCCTTCAGAGTGAAGTGTTGCTATATATGCTTCAGTTCAGAAGCGAAGCTGATGAAGTCTCTCTCATCGACGCCTGAGACGACCTCAGAAATAGAACCGTCTTTTTGTCGAGCACGTATTGAAACAAGCTGAGATAAAGAAAGGGCGGATTGTGAGGATGTTCCCTGGGACTTGTGTAAGGGGTCTCGTTTCTCAGACTTACTGCACTTCATGTAGAGTCCGAAAGTAGGGTGAAAAGCAAAGTTCCATGTCTGTGTAATAGCAATAATGGGTCTTTTCAACACAGCTGTTCCGAGACGCTCTCCCCGTGAGGTGGGTTGGACGTGTTGTATTAGGTAGTCGAGATCGATTCTCTCTCAGCTTTGACCGCTGATTTTAGAGAGAAAAACAGTACATTCACCACGAATATACAATTTCATGTGCTAATGTGTCGTAGGGTAGCAAGACGGCTTAAACTAGTTTGTGTTACTTTGAAATTTGATTGCATCTCGACATTGTTACCTAAAAATTACCCAGACGTCATTGGAGCCCCAGCTGTAGTACGTAAGATCCCTTCACTGGTCCCCTTGTGCACAGGCCACGAGATTGATAACGATAAGGCTTTCAGGACATTTTACCTCCTGAACTGCACGGGACAAACTATCCTCTACTCCAAAGTCGACCTCGAGGCCTTGGAATACTCGTCTTGAGCGACCCAGACATTAATCATTGTGAACCTTCTTTGTTTTCTTGTCACTCTTTTGCAATCAATTCTGGCTCTGTAGAGTCCGCCTCTCTTTTCCCCTACTCGATGCCTCTTTCCCCCTCTACCAATAGCCATGGACGGTGATCCGAAGGTTGAGTCGCAGCTCGACTCGTTCAGCTTGACCTTTCCCCTACCCTATCGCATAGGGTTCATTATTGTTCTCGGTAGGTCGCGACTGCGTACGGAATTGAACTAAAACGCTGACTATGGAATAGCTGTCTGGGGCTGGGGTGTCAACCTCCACTACCTGCACAAAGTCAAGATCGATGTGCCCTCCCTGATTCGATATCCCTCGCGATCCTCTCCGACACAACCGGCGCATCACCTATCGACTTACCGTCTTGCGACCGTGCTTTCGACGGTCTTCCTGCTTTCGATTTCAACTTTCTGGATCTTTTCCCGTCGAACCCCCGCGCTCGTAATCGAATATGACTGGTTGCCGATGACCTACCTGGTCGCCCTCGCGGCCCTCTTCTTCGTCCCAATCCGCAATTTTTCGCAGGGCGGGCGATCGCGATTTCTCGCTACGCTGCGACGCGTAAGCATCGGAGGAATAGCAGAAGCAAAGGACGGCAAATTCGGAGATATTCTGCTCGCCGATGTATTGACGAGCTATTCCAAGATCCTGGGAGACCTTTACGTGGTGCTTTGCATGTTCTTCACGCCATCAGGGTCTTCAACTGCGCGACCGGACCGAAATTGTGGCGGAACAGTGATAGTGCCGCTCATTATGGCAGTGCCGTTCGCGATACGATTCAGGCAGTGCATCATCGAGTACTTCCGAGTCCGAAGAGCGCCTTACAAGGAGTCAGTCGGTTGGGGCGGACAGCATCTGGCCAACGCCACCAAATACGCCACGGCTTTCCCCGTTATCATCTTCAGCGCACTGCAGCGGAGCGTTCCGGCTGATCAGCCAGCGCCTGGATTGAACAGAGCATGGCTGGTGGCAGTGCTGGTCAACTCCCTTTACTCGTGGTATTGGGATGTTGCCAAGGATTGGGACCTGACACTATTCTCGTCGGCGCGCGAGCGCAACAATCCGGAGCACCCGTTCGGGCTTCGCCGGCGGCTTGTTTTCCAGCAGCCTGTCATCTACTATGGTGTGATCGGGATGGACTTGATGCTGCGGTGTACCTGGTCGCTCAAGTTGAACGCACACTTGGACAAGTTTACCGACTTCGAGAGTTCCATCTTCTTATTGCAGTCACTCGAGGTATTCAGACGATGGGTATGGATTTTCTTCCGGATTGAAACAGAGTGGCTGCGGAACAACACGTCGGGACTTGCGGTGGACGACATCTTGCTTGGGGACTACCAAGGCAAGTATGACTCTGATGAAGATTAGGAGCTACGCCAGCTTCCTTGATGAGATAGACCTTGTAATGTACGTGTGTGACTATAGGTGCCTGGAGTTATTGGTCTAGACGGAAGCGGATCTGAATAAGATCTTGACCTGGGCTTAGATTTCTGTATCAACGAATCCTTCTTCTCTGTATTCTAACAAAACATGGGTATACTTCTGTGTGTCTCCTCCAGTGCGCGTCTATCCAACCACTCCAACTCACGTCACAATGTCCAAGAAAACCAAGGTCGCTGCGCAGTGTTCGGCTCCTTCAACTTATTTAGGCAGTACCCGTTATGGTTCCTCCTTACCTTGCCGTCGCACTCACATCGACATCCGATTCCTCCATCAATTGGTGTTGAGTATGACGACGCATTCCCAAGCGTCTGAGACCCAGGCAATTGCCCGTCTGGCGCATTAGCCGGGCATTGAAACAGTTCGTCGTGCCTGTATCCGAAATCCTCAAAATGATGCACTTTGTCCGCGTCGAGAAGCATGCCGACGGCCAGTGAGTGTACAGCGGCGTCACCCCACTAAATGCGACGCAAAATCCTGGTTAGTGATCGACTTCAGGCTGCCAAGGGTTCGGGCACAGGGGAGAGAACGTGGTTGGACGCGATGCGACTCGGCAAGTCTTGGAAGAAGGAGCATCAAAGCTCACGGTGGAGAAGGAAGGCAGAAGCTTGGCTTCCTTGTCATTCCAATTCTCCAACGACATCCCTCAACTTCTTCATCTTCGAGCCTTCTTTTCCAAGTCCGATTCTTTGCCCACCACACAATACTGACTGAAAATACCGTTGGAAATCCACTTACCCTTTCAAAATAGAAACCTCCCGTATCATCGAGCGCCTTGAAGAAAGCCTGATACTGTTTTCCGCGGAAGAAGTCGAGATCTGCTATCTCGAAGTTGCTCCAATAGTGGCAGCCGCTCCAGGCGTCGCCAGATTGATCGCGGTGCGGCAGCAGGCTCATCAGCGGCCGCAGTGGATACGGAAGCCATGACGGTTCCATCATGGCCTTCCACAATGCCGAAGACGCCAGATCGAACGCCTCCTTGAACTCGGCCGTGTGTCGAAAGAGTGACGGCACCGTGTCCCATTCTTCCCATAAGGAGATTGTAAAGCCGTATACCTTCTTCCGCCGAGCCATCTCCACGAACGGATCGTAGGTAATCGAGCAGAGGAAATCGACATCGGGTTCCAGTCTCCAGTACCATTTGTACTTTCGCAGAGCTTCGAGCTGGTAGAAACTCCTGCAGGTTTTAAAGTCAGTACGTGCCCCCAAGAAGCTTAAGCTGGACGTTGGGGAATTGTCACTGACCCTGAATAGAAACGACACATATGGTGGTAACCTTCCTGGCCTGCATGCATAGTGCCCCGCGCCCCTTGCTCAACGATACTGCTCTTCGCGGCTGTTTGGTTGACCCACGCGGGATATGTCCAGTCTTCCTGCGGAATCACTTCAAATGTCGCCCCTCCGCTCGCTGTACTGTTCAACACCTCGATAAAACGGTCGTCGAATGGCTCGTTGTTGAGGAAGACGATTGGGTAGTGGAACCATCGGTTGAAGTGCTTCTCAAGCGAGGCAACCGTATGGTTGGCTTCCTTAAGCTCCGAGTTCTTCGCCAACATCACCAAAACTCCATTCTCACGTTTGCCTGTCACATCTGGTTCGCGACAAGACGTGTAGAATGGCTGATCTTGCTCGATGGTTGGCCGTGGCGCATTGAAGGTTCTGCAATGAAGTACAGACTCCATCACACCGAACGCGAGAAGCAGCCAAAGCCAGCTGGGGAGTCGGAAACGCGACGGCCGTCGCCGTGGGCTCACATATCGGCGGATCATCGCAATGGGGGGCACGGCTACATGAGCCTATTTTCACAAACGCACCACGAGAAAGACAGACAAATGTAAGAGGAATGCAGAAAGAATGTTTTGAGATGGAGCTCAGTAGTTTTTACTCCCAGCGAGTAGTTTGAGTAGCTGGGCTGAAGGAATAAGACATACGACTACGCTATTGACGAAACCGCCGTGCAACACGGAATGCCAGGCTACAACTTGCTACCTCCTACAGCATTGACCTCCAACAACACATACACGTGCTAATTATTCCTTGTTCGAGCTGGATCTAAAGAAGCCGACTGATAGAGCTGACGTACGCCAGAGACACGTAAAATCAGGTCCTGGGCTCGATTTTGGGCCGGCGCCTTCTAGACTGATGGTGCTGTGAAGGGAGAGCAGCTTGGGGGACAACCCCTTGACTAGCTCTGCGATGGTCTGCACGCCATCGAGACACAAGATGGGACGGCATTGGCTCCCACTTGCCGGGACGGGCCAGTGCTTGACTTAGCGGCGGAATGTCAGCCCTTCGCACGAACTTGCATAAGGATCAAAGGCTTATGATGGGATCGAAAAGGAGGTCGTTCTAGCAGCATTTTGTTCCGATCCTTTTGCCATCCTTCTGACCAGAGCGGGACGGCAGGTGACTTGCAATGTCAGTCCAGGCATCAAAGTCCGACTTCCGACAATCCACCGTCTCTGGCCCCATCTGGGTATACCGTACAAATTTTCTCTGGCTCAGGAAGACCTTCTCGTCTAGGTCTCTCACAAAGCCCGCTTTGGGGAGCTCCGACCGACTAGCTAGGGATGGACCGATGTGGGTTAGGCTTGAGCACTTGGGAAATGCCCATCCAACTTCGTCTTTGCACAATTGGGACGAATTATGCTCATTTTCAACACTTCATTGACCAAGACTGATTCTTAATTGGGAGCTACGGAGCACGCCCCGCTGCTTGTCTTGCCATCTAATGCGTCGTCGAAGAAAAGTTACCGGGCCACGGCCCGTCACGAAGCACGTCCAGTCAGGAAGAATCGATGCGCCACTTCTTCAAGGCACCCGCCAAGTGATCT